AGGAAAAGCAAACCCAAAATAATGAGTAACAGTATTGTTGCAAACAGACAAGCATAAGCTTTCTAATTCAGGTGCAGCCACCTCTCTCATGTCATGATGTCGCAGTGGTTAGAATGTGATACTGTAAGCTAAGTCTGCTGACTGCCAACTGCTCTTCGGCAGTTCGATTCTCACCAGCTCAAAGTTGACTCAGCCTTCTGCCCTTTCACGGTGCGGTAAAATGAGGACCCAGATTGTTTGGGGGCAATAGGCTAACTCTGTAAACTACTTAGAAAGGGATGTAAATCACTGTAAAGCAGTATATAAGTCTAAGTGCTATTGCGGGAAAACTCTGCCCACAGCCTGGAGTTCAATCCTGACTTCAGTTCAAGGTTGACTCAGCCTTCCATCCTTCCGAGGTGGGTAAAATGAGGACCCAGATTGTGGGAACAATATGCTGTCACTTTAAACCACTTAGAGCGGGCTGTAAAGCACTGTAAAGCGATATATAAGTCTAAGTGCTTTTGCTATTATGAACATTCAGATTCCACTATGTAGAATTAGGGTGTGTGTGTGTGTGTGTGTTTGTGTGTGTGTGTGTTCTCAGTAAGGATTGGACTTGCCCTGAGATTCAAGAAAACTAACCATCACTCTAAGAAGACCAGAAGAAAATCTGAGCAGCTGAACAGGGCAAAGTCCTAGCAAAGCCAACAAAAAAACAGAGACCCAAAAAAGAACCAAGAGAAGAATGAAACAGCTCTGTCTCATCATTCTTAGTGCTGTGGGGTCCTTGGTGCTCTCTGAGCTGGGTTGTTTTCTTGCAGACATTTCATTATCAAACTAGGTAATATTATCAGTACCCTCCACACAGGGAAAAACAACCAAGCTCATTAGAACGCCAAGAATCCCACAGTTCAACCCTGAGCTACAAATATTTTCTTCTATGCATACTTAGTGCTCCAAGTCCTGTAATTCTTAGTCAGCACAGCATCATTTCAAGTCCAGATCCTAAGACCCAAACTTCCTAGCATCGATCCTTTTTGCAAGATTTACTCCCTGGAGAGTCAGCTGGCTAGACTCAAAACTCAAGCAGACCATTGAGAGCAAAGTCAAGAATCCATGGGCTTCTCTTGCCAGAAACTTTAGAGCCTTCCCTGGTGCTTTATGCTTGGATGATGGCATTTTCTCAAGGATGTAATTTCCAATATTGATCTCTAGTTTTACAAGGGCATTCTTTGCCATCTAAATCCATAATGACATCTCACACACCTCCAGTGCCCCAGAGAACTCACATTAATATAAAGGTCCTTTGTGAATCATTTGTGGTCTTAAACCTAATAGCAAAACGGTTATCTTCTGTGGATATTATGGATATGTCAACTTCCATTTGCTGAAAATAGTCTACTGGCCTTTAAATGTCTTGAAGGAAGCAAGAGAGCTGCTAGCGCTACAATCCTTTGCTGTAAATAGTTACTGGTGATGGAATAAGATCTGTGCCTTTAATTGAGGGACAAATTCTGTAGAACTGAGTCTCTCTTTGTGGTTTTCATCAAATGGAGCTTTCCTAAAACAAAGGCGAACTTAAAAGGGGCCTAAATCTGGTGGGTTTCACTGATAGCAGGACTTCAATCCATCCGAGTAAGTTCAGGTGTTGATTCTATATCCTTGTGCTACTTTAATCTACCTTGTATTTTCCAAACATACAGAGTCAGATGCTGCTATTGGTAGCATAAACCACAATTTCAGGGATTTTAACCAAGCGCAAAGATTGAGGTGGTAACCTTCGATCTTTAGTACACAAATATTCTGACTCTGTGGAACAATATTTTTCCCCCCTCTCTCGCCGAAGAAAATCCTGCTTCTTTGGCTTATGTGCTGAAGGGCTGAAGGATAAAAGGATGTGTAAAATTCCTTTGTGTGGGGTCTCGGTGCACCAATATAGCTGTTATTTGTTCTCGTTGGAGATACCGAAAAATAATAGTTTATTTTATCTGCACAGTCACCGGCAGAGGCTGGAGACTGAAATAATACAAGCCACCTCAATAAGACTTAATAAAGACCAATGGTTTTTTTGTCCCCTACAGAAGGGAGAAGGGTAGAGAAACGTTTCAGGTTTGCAAGTGCTGTTGTTGCGGCTATTCCATTGTTTTCATCTTATAAACGCGGGTTTAAATATAGCTCTTTTTCTCTCTCCAATGATTTAAATGAAAGGAACAGCCAAGATAGGTGTATTTCAAGTCCACAAATGAAAAGGTGACATTTCTCCAGCTGGGTCAAAGGACATGTTTAGACAGACATTTACTGTCATTCTCAGGAAAAGGAAAAGTAGGTTCGTATAGGGAAAATGTAAACCCAGATCCCACTTTGGAGCAAAGGTTGCTGAAAAAAAGTGATGGGATGACAGCGTCAGAGAGCCATGGAGGAAGCATGCTATTGGGGTGCCTTTCGGTCAGGATTCAGGTATGGGTACCGCAATAAAATAACACACATTGCCTTGTTGTTCATCTCCAGCAGGAGTATTTAGATATGTGTGTGTATCCATCATCCATCTATGCCATCCTTGGTGACTTTTGGTACCATTGATTATCGCATCCTTGGGGACTGCATCAGGGGGTTAGTTGTGAGAGGCACGGTGGCACGATGGCTCTCTTTCCCCCAAGATCACTTCCACTCATCACTAGCAAGGGAAAGAGGTCTAGACTCCTTCTAGATTTAGAGGATCTAGATTCTAGAGGTGTAGATTCTAGAGGTCTTTGCTTTGCAAGATTTCACAAGCTCTACTTTCGTTTCATTTCACATTTCACATTTCCATGAAGAGGTTATGTGAGGTCATCTAATAGCACCAAGTCAGTTAGGATCTCTTCTCCTTCTCCTTCTCCTTCTCCATCTCCTTCTCTTTCTCCATCTCCTTCACCTTCTTCCTCTTTCTCTTCCTCTCCTCCTCCTCCTCCTTCTCCTTCTCCATCACCTTCGCCCTCTTCCTCTCCTCCTCCTCCTCCTCCTCCTCCTCCTCCTCCTCCTCCTACCATATCCATCATCAAATGTTGGCAATCATGTTGACGATCCTATTTTTATCAACAGCCTCATGAAAAAGGGGCTGCTGAGTTTTGTCCAAACCAGTCCCTTAGATTTTGAAGGCACAATATTCTTCTTCTGCCTTCATTTGCTTTCAACCTTTCCCTGGAGGATTAAATGAGGGTAGGATAGGTACATTTCATTCTCAGAAGCAACACAGCCGCTTCCCAGCACCGAAATAATACCGATGTATTGAAAGGCTGGAAGCTTGCTGCTGTTTGGGTTCCTTTAAATAAACACAGACCCCCAAAGAGCAATTCCTTGACATTAAATAAGACCAGAGGTAATAAAAGTCACATTTAAAAAGAAAATCCTTATCCAAGTTTTTTTTTTTAAAAAAAAATAATTTGTAGCATGGCACGCTCGCTCTGATTTCTTATCAAGGTTGCCGCATCTCCCCCTCCGTTTAAATATGAAGAAAGGAAGAAGGCCCGTCCTTTGTTTATGGCTGTTTACGGCTGCCATGTTCTTTTAACTAAAGGTGTTGCAGCTGTGCCTCCATTTGCAAAATGCCAGCAGTGATAGATGGCGGCTTCGTTCCTGGGAAGATACGATCTTCCAAGAATAGAGCCCTGTATCAGGACCACGGAAAGCTCCCTAAATCTCCCTCTGCTGGTTTACTGGTTATTTTTCTTCATTGAGCTTCCATTCGGCTTTTGCACCAGTAACTAAAGATGGTGCACATACCGCTCTCTTTCTCAGTTTTTGCATGAAAGATCAACCCTACAAAGTGGAATGGCTGTGAGGGACCGGCTCAAAAATCATCCATTTCTTTCTTTCTTTCTTTTTCTCCCTCTCTCTCTTCCTCTCTTCCTGGTCTAAAGAAAAAAAGAATTAGGAGGCACGCGATAGTCATATTCCAGTACTTGAGGGGCTGCCACAAAGAAGAGAGGGAGTCAAGTTATTCTCCAAAGCACCGGAGGGCAGGGCAGGAAACAATAGTTGGAAACTAATCAAGGAGAGAAGCAACCTGGAATGAAGGAGAAGCTTCCTTAACAGTGAAGGACAATGAACCAGTGGAACAGAAGTTGCCTTCAGAAATTGTGAGCGCTCCATCACTGGAGGTCTGTAAAGCTACTTAGTCATCCAGGTCATGGTTGTCCCAAAGGTGCTTTTTCAGGAGGCAACTGGACTTTCTTGTTCTTCTTTGGAGACCTTTCACTTCTCATCCAAGAAGCTTCTTCAGCTCTGACAGCATGGTGGGGAATGGAAGGATTGATATTCCTTGCAGACAGCTGGTCCTTTGCATCCTTTTAGAGGGTTGTTGAAGCACTGGGAGGTTTATCTGTGTCCTCAGGGTCACCCGAGTAGTGTTCCTGGTTCCTGTAGTCTCCATTTTTTTTCCTCTGGAAATCCATTCCTACACCATTCCGAGGGTGTTTATCCCAAATGGTGTAGCTAAAAAGTCTGTAGAGATTCTCAGTCATCCAGATAGATCCAGCTGCCTGCAAGAAGTATAAATCCTTCCATTCCCCGCTATCCTGTCAGAGCTGAAGAAGCTTCTTGGATGAGAAGCGAAATGTCTTCATAGAAAAAAACAAGGAAGTCCAGTTGCCTCCTGAAAAAAAACCCTCCATCACTGGAGGTTTTGAAGAAGAAACTAGACAGCCATTTACCTGAAATAGTATAGGTTTTCCTCCTTGAGCAAAGCGCTGGACTAGAAGACCTCCAAGTTCCCTTCCAGCGCTATTCTATTCCTCTTTCTCTCTTTCTCTTTCTCTTTCTCTTTCTCTCTCTCTCTCTCTCTCTCCACACACAAACACAGAGAGCCAATATCGTAAAGAATATCTTTCCCGGAAGTCACCCTGTTCTTTCTTCCTTAGGCAAAACTTCCGAGAGAATAAATTCTTCAGAAATTAGCCTTGTCAGATTTTTTTTTTTTCCACTACTACCCCAAACCCCATTTGGGCCACAGGTATTGATCCTCCTCTCTGCTTCCTTTTCAGAAAGCTGACTTGGCAGTGGCTGGCCTGACCATTACAGCCGAGCGAGAGAAGGTGATTGATTTCTCAAAGCCCTTCATGACTCTGGGGATTAGCATCCTCTACCGCGTTCACCTGGTAAGAGACATCGTTTAAAAGCGGTTTTCACGTTGAAGGATATCTGCAGACAAATGTTGCACAAAGCAACAGCTGTGAGGATTTGTCTACTCCCCCACCCCAAAAAAACTCCCACCAACCCCACCCTTTCTGTTTTTGTACTGCGTTATTCTGATGTTATTTGAGTGGTGTGGTGTGCCTAGAAGTGAGTCTAGCCTCACAATCAGGAGGCTGTGAGTTCAATCCTAGGTATAGGCAGATATTTCTCTCTCTGGGCACACTGAGAATGTATCTGCTGGGTGGGGGGAAACCTCTGTACTGGTGCCAGGAAAGGCATCCGGCCAGTAAACACTTAGCTCCATTCAGCTGCCCAGACTCCATCCCACAAGGGATTATGGGGTCATTAAAAGAAGAAGTTGATTATTCCGACGTTATTTAAAACATTGAAATTAGCTCAGGTCGAGGATTTTATGAGGCCAAATATTGATCGACTGGTTTTTTTTTAATACTGTGCCAGATATTGTCCATTGTTTTTTTTAATTAACGTTGTAGGAAAATTAGAAATTACACTAATTATAAAACTCAACAATTAGAAATTAGCCTGTGTAGTGGAATATCAAAGCTGGTGGCTGGAGCTAATTCATTTTGGCTGATTTAGAAGACAAGCTTAATTGGGGTCAGCCTTGATTAGTACTTGAGTAGGATATCACCTGGGTACACCAAGGCTGTAGATTAAACTGAAAATCAAAATAATCTCCTGATAGTTTCCAAGAGCCTAGCTGGACTCACCAGAACCTTTACCTTTTGGGGTTAAAATAACCTTTCATGGTAACAACAACAACAACAATAATAACGATAATAATATGCCAATTGTAATTGGAGCCCTTGGAGCAATACCTAAAGGATTGCCTCGCTATTTGGAAATCCTGAATTTATCAGACTTGAATACAAAAAACCCACCCTACTTGGAACAGCTTATGTCCTCCGACGCTACCTGAACAGTTCCGAGGTCCTTGGTAAGGACTGGAGCTGTTGAGCTACCAACCAGCCCCAAAGGCTGTGAATCTCACCAAAGAATAACCATAATAACTTCCTGTTTTGTGACATGAATTCTTTCCCCTTTGCAAAGTGGTGTGGCTAATTCCCTTCTAGGAGATATGTGTTTTCCTTCCAGAAGTTCACTAAGAGTAGAAGAAGGAAAAGAATGCTTTGGAGAATGTGATTCATGGATAGAGGGGCTTCCCAGTTTCTACAAAGCTAACTAAGTTCTTGGACAATGCTCATTGACAAATGTACAACCAGAACTTACCAAATTTGCAGATGATACTAAGCTGGCAGGAATAGCTGGCACCCAAGAAGATAGGCTCAAGATCCAGATGGACCTTGACAGACTAGAACACTGGGCCATATCTAATAAAATGAAATTCAATGTAAAGAAAAGTAAAGTCCTACACTTTGGCAAGTTTAACCAAAAGGACACATATAGACTGGGTGAAACCAGGCTCAATAGCAGTAACTGTGACAGGGATCTTGGAGTCTTAGTGGACAACCAGCTAAATATGAGCCAGCAGCCAAAAAAGCCAATGCAATTCTAAGATCAAGGGAGGTACTAGTACAACTCTACAAAGCCTTAGTAAGACCACACCTAGAATCCTGCATCCAGTTTTGGTCACCAGATTATAAAAACAGCATTGAGACTCTAGAAAGAGTGCAGAGAAGAGCAACCAGGTTGATTAGGGGACTGGAGGCTCAAACTTACAATGAACGGTTGCACTAGACTGGGCCTGGCTAGTCTAGTGAAGGGAAGGGAAGGACCAGGGGAGACAGGATAGCAGTCTTTCAATATTTGAGGGGCTGCCCTAGAGAGGAGGGGGTCAAGTTATTTTCCAAAGCACCCAAAGGCCAGACAAGGAATAATGGATGGAAACCAAACAAGGAGAGATTCAACCTGGAAATAAGGAGAAACTTTCTGACAGGGAGACCAATCAACAAATGGAACAGAAGTTGCCTTCAGAAGTTGTGGGAGCTTCATCCCTGGAAGCTTTCAAGAAGAGACTGGACTGCCATTTGTCAAAAATAGTGTAGGGTGTCCTGCTTGGGTGGAGGGTTGGACTGGATAACCTACAAGGTCCCTTCCAACTGTGTTGAGTTTTATGGGACTAGAACTCCCACATTACTCAATTAGGGAGACAAGCAGTAGAAGCTCCTTTAGACAAATGGGCCTGCAAGTTCAGAGGGAAGCCTCTTCACCCTCTGAACAATAATGGTATTTTATCCCAGTCTGGTTGAGTTGCTGTCTCTGATCCCTGTGCAAAAATTAGATGGCCGATATATTGCAGGACACAAGCCCAGATGGATGCTAATTCTGTCTTTGCCCTTGGATTGAGCTGTGTGAGAAAAAAAAAGGCCAGTAATTTCCTCACTCAACGAATATATATATATATAGGAAAGAAAGAGTAGGCAGATCTCAGAGAAAAAGGCAGAAAAAGAAAAGGAAGCTTATAAATTCAGTTCCCTTCCATGGGGTTTTCCTTTCCCCATCCTGCTGCGCCAAATTATTAGTTGATCTCAGCCCTGAGAGCAGGAACACAATAGATACTCCAAGAGTCAGGAGAAAAATGAAAAATTCCACCTATTCACTCCAAGGTTTTGCTTATTTTCTTCTCAGGATTTCCAGAATGGAGAGATGTATGCCAGCTGGGTCTCTGCCTCTCCACTTATATGCTAGTAGGAAATATTATTTTCCCCCAGAAAGGAAGGGAATGTCCCCTCCATACCCCCCTTCTAATATGCCATCAGCCCAAGGGCAGAAAAGCATTTGCAAATGGGCCAACAATACGATTCTTGATGTGGTTTTGTTGTTGTTGTTGTTGCTTTCCACTATCAGGATGGAAACTTCATTGAAACATTTGATGGTTGGCCCTAAACCATATGATCGACTAGTTCTCGTGGCGTATCTGCCACTGAATTCTCTCCCTTCAGACTGTGGTTTTGTAACCGAATGCTACATCCATGGTTTTTGTTTTCTTGAGTTTTTGAAAAGAAAGCAAACAATTGCTCGATCGAGTCTTTTCAGTAGTTTAGAACAGGAGTGTCCTTCGAAACAGGGAGGAGGCAATCTTTGTGCCTTGGGATTTTCCACCATCAACATTTAAATATATATACATATACATATACATACATACATACATGTCTGCCACAACAAGAAAAGAAGCAATAGGTTCTGTTTGGACCTCCTTAGAGTTCAGATTTAGAGATCAGTCTTTTGTTTTGCTTTCCTTTTCAGTTCTTCACATTTCCTGTCCAAAGGTCAGTTCTTGTGTCTTAGAATTAAGACGGTTAATTAAGACTGTCTCTACGGTTATAGAGAAGAAACTTGTTGTTTAGCATACACTGTATAAAAGCAATCAATCAATCAATCGGAATAGAGCTGGAAGGGGTCTTGGAGGTCTTCTTGTCCAACCCCTACTCAAGGAGGAGACCCTATACCATTTCAGATGAGTTACTGTCCAGTCCCTTCTTAAAAACCTCCAGTGATGGAGCACCCGTGATTTCTGGAGGGAAGCTCTTCCACTGGTTAATTGTCCTCACTGTTAGAAAGTTTCTCCTTAATTCCAGGTTGCCTCTCTCCTTGATGAGTTTCCATCCATGGTTTCTTGTCCTGCCTTCTGAGGCTTTGGAAAATAAGTTGACTCCCTCTTCTTTGTGGCCACCTTTCAAATACTGGAATATTGCTATCATATCACCTCAATCCTACTTTTGTCGAGACTAGCCAAACCCAAATCCTCCAATATGTTTTAGTCTCTGGGCCTTTCATCATCTTACTTGCTCTTCTTTGCACTTTTTCCAATGTCTCAATGTCTTTTGGTAATGCATTGAGTCATTAAAAGAGTAAATATTAATTTAACACGAGAAGGCTCGAAAACTCATTACAGTAGTCAAGAGCTGCTCAAAGCCCATCCGGGCTTCTTCCTTTCATATTCCAGGATGGGAAACTGCAGCTGACGTTGTATTTAATCCATGGTTTCTTTAAGAATCTTCTTATCTTATCAAATAGCTGCAGAAGCATTTCCAGCTTGTTAAAGCAGCATCTCCCCGTCTCCCTCTCCTCACTGTTGAGATGACATTGGGCTTCCGTCTCCTGTCGCTTGGTTTCTCAGTCCTCAGACCTGGCTTGCCTGTACCCCATTTTACACACACACACAGACACACACACACACAGAGGCTTCATCACAAATAACTGCAAATGGCAGGTTCAAATGGGCCTGTCATTTGTCTCAATTTCATGTGTTGCAATTTAATCAACTGTGGCTTTCTGAAACAGGGACTCTAATAGGAGGCCTCGCTGTTGACCTGCTGTTACAAACACAGCCTTCTTCCTCTCCCCCTCCATTCAAACTAATGGAATATTGTGCAGTGGGGTCATTAAATAAGGCCTGGGGGCCCCAGGGGTTTGATGCTTCCTTTCAGCAGGGAGTGGACTGCTGCATTTTCCAAACCGTGAATCTTTTCACGGCCTTTCTAGATGCTCACATGAATGGATAGCTCGGCTTAACAAACTTGTTGCCTTCCTTTAGAGCCCAAAGGTGCTTTTTCAGGAGGCAACTGGACTTTCTTGTTCTTCTTTGAAGACCTTTTGCTTCTCATCCAAGAAGCTTCTTCGGCTCTGACTGGATGGAGGGGAATGGAAGGATTTATACTCTTTGCAGACAGCTGGTCATTTGCATCCTTTTTAGAGAGTCATTGAGGCCACTTGGAGGTTTACCTGTATCCTCGGGGCCACCTGAGTGGTGCTCCTGGTTCCTGTAGTCTGCAATTTTTCCTCTGGAAATTCATTCCTACTCTCACACCATTCCAAGGGTGTTCATCCCAAATTGTGCAGCTAAAAGTCTGTAGAGATTCTCGGTCATCCAGGTCATGGTTGTCCCAAAGGTGCTTTTTCAGGAGGCAACTGGGCTTTCTTGTTCTTCTTTGAAGACCTTTCACTTCTCATCCAAGAAGCTTCTTCAGCTCTGACAGGATGGTGGGGAAC